TCTGATGACATATCTTTTTGCTTTTTTGTAGACACGCCCTTCTTTATTTTTTGGAAGCCTAAACAAATCCTTAGGCTATTTTTCGTTTTCAACTGTGAAAAATTAATTTTTTTTCAATTTCTTTTTCAACTTTGAATTCCCATTTGTATTTAATTCATGTAAATATTGTTTAGATTAGATTTTTCTGAAAAGAGATCCGACTTCTTGGTGTATAGCCCCAAGTTGATATCGCCCCCGTTTGGGCTTCTTTCGGGGTTTAACTTATTTTGGCACTTAAACCTAAAATCGAACCTATTTCTCAATTTTTCGGACCTAAATGTCGGGCTCTAATTATAATTGGTTACCCAAAGAGAATAACTGATTCTTGAATAAAATAAAGGAATAACACGAAATATTTCAACATGATTAATTTTCTATTTAATTTCATTTTAAGTAAAACGATAATTAACAAGCTTAGAAGATTGGTAGGACGGTTTGTTAAATTTTTTTGGAAGTTAGATTTTCTGACTAAAAACGTAGGATGTTAATGAGTGCAATTGTTCTGAAGATACATTAATTAAATAAAAAAATGTTAAAATTTTTTTAATCAAAAATTTAAGGATCACTATTATTTCTTTTAAATAAAATTTTAGAATTTATATTGTTTATTCCTTCATTTTTCATTAAATTAATGTCAGCACCCACTTTAATTTTTGATACTAAATTTTAAATAAATTAATTAATCAAAAAATTATACCAACCAATCTTTTGTCGAATAGGCTGAAAATAAATGATTTAATTGGTTATATTTTCAGCTAATATTGCCCTACTTGTTACCAGAGGTGGGTCGGAATTCCGATTTCCGACTTTTGACCAGTTACAATTTCCGGCTCTTTCTATTTCCGATCCTCTGACTGTTCCAATCCATCTCTGCTCGTTACTTATTATTTTTAGTATACTACTTTTTATCACTACGAAACTGGGCGCAATTTTACTTTCGTAGGTTCTAATTAAAAACGTTCATCTAATTTAGTTTGTATCAAACTGATATTTGCTTAATTTTTGTTAATTTAGATTTCAAGCTAACAGAATGACCGTTATACTATCAGAAGAAAATTTTGAAGCCCGACAAGGAACCCTATTAGATTGTTAATCCTGTCCTTCACTGCTTGTTACTCAGCAGTTTTGTGTTATTTATAAAAAGTCTCGCCATCTGTGTTGGTACAATATTTTTGAGTGTAAATTTAAGTTCAAAAATAAAATATTTTACCTTAATTTGATTTATTGCATTTTTGCTATTTAAATCTTTAGCATAACGCTTAAGTATTGGAATATATTTAAGAAATGCACGGCGATATTCACAACTTTAAATTAAAAATTATTTATTAAAGTTTGAAAATATTAAATAATAGTTTATGTCATGCTTTAATATTTATGGTATTCTGTTTATATTTATGTAGTAGCTGCTCTATCTTTAACTTCTTTATTTTTGGATGTTTGAATACACAATTCAAGCAATACTTCGAAAATAAACCAAGAGTGGGTCGGGTAACCCAAAGACCTAACTTTTATTCCGTCTCGAAATCCGACCCAAAGAAATTTCTTTTTTCTCAACATCCCTAAACATACCTAAATTTAAATAAAATAACAGCATTTGCACAACAAGCAATTAAAGCAAAATGATTAGCCAGTTGATAAACTATATAAGTTACAGCTGTGTCACTTGGATCCCAAAAATTTGGAATTCCAATAATTTTGGTAAATAAATAGTAATTTGTATAAAATGTGAAGCCGAACAAAGATACAAGCAAAATACTTAGTAATGATTTAAATAAACGTCTTGTTGACACTTGATTAATTAAAAAATTAATTTATTTCCTTGTTAACAGCATTTAAAACGCTTAGGCGAGACTTAAGTGACTTAAAAATGCTAGTCGATGCCCCGGTAACTCAGTGGTAAAGCTCCAGTATGTGGTGAGCGAAAGCGCCTAGCAATAAGTGTCAGGAGGTTGCAGGTTTAAATCTTGCCCGGTAGCTAAACTATTGCTGAAATTTTTCTAGAATATGGGTGAGTTCAGATTCATATAACCGAAGAATGTGGTAATCCATACGATCTTAATCATGAGAATCTAGTCCGCAATGGCTTTAGACATGCGGACTTGTGTGATTTTTATCTTTTAAACTATGGATTTTTTAATGCTTTTAAGTTTACTCATACTACTACTAATTTATCAATAAACAAATTTATTACAATTATTTCTCATTCCATGCCGTAATAAATACCAAATTATAACATAAATAGCTGCACTGAAAATTTCAAAAAACAGACTGATACTCATAAAATAAATAGAATTATGGTGAAGAGTTGAAGTTATTCCATTACATTTTACTTTGAAACTGAAAAAAATTTTAGGCAATGAATTCTCGGAATCCCGGGAGTTGGCACTGTGTGTAGCCTCCCCGACCGCGTCTTGAGTGCAATAAGCTTTAAAAATACGTTGTATTTCCAGCAACATCTTGAACTTCTTCCCAAGCCAAAGAAACATTAAATAACCCGTTTGTTAAAATACAAAGCGTAACAAGTATAAAATAAATTTTTTTGTTTAGATGATTATACCTGAAAGAGTAATAATTTGATAATGGTCTACTTTATGTATCCAATTAGGTTGGGGGACCGGTTCGGTTCGAAATCGAACCGGGCCTCGAATTTTGGTCAAAAAAAGACACGAATGTCCAGGTTCGATAAAAATGAGTCCCGAAAATATGACCCGACCTTCGGCCCGGTTCGAAACCCCAACCCCACTTAAGAGTATAATAAATAGACTCATAAACCTCCACAAGATTCCTAAATCTTCATCTTAAAGCTAAACTTGAGACAAAAATTTTTAAATTTCATAAATTTACGTGATGGGTAGAACAACAGAAATAAGCCTGTCTATAGCAATAGCAGCCATTAAAACAAAAGAAGAAGCAAAAAGTAAAAGAAATGGGGAAGTGAAACAGAAGCATTGAAACATTGTCATTAATTGAGGTCCAACAATTAGGCTTCGAGCTACAAACAAACGATTAACACCAAAAGTGAGAATACAAAATTCGTAGATAGCCTTTAAATTGTAAAGAAATTGTGTTAAATTTCATTAGTTTTATTCAGAAATTTGCAGAGGGTATGGATTAATTATGAACACAATATTTATTTTTTACCTAAACAATAGATTTATTCAAGTATGAAATGAGTTAAACGTTTCCAGGAGAGATCATCTGTAATTTTTGGATGCCATTTACATCAAATTGGCAATTAAAGTAGATTTAAAAAGCCTCCAAAAATATAATCCAGAAAATAAATAAGAAAAATCAATATGGAAATAGTTGTTATAGTTTAATTTATTATGACCTGAGGCGCGAAGATTGGTAGGACGGTTTGTTAAATTTTTTTGGAAGTTAGATTTTCTAACTAAAAAGGTAAATTGTATTGAGATGGGAGCGGCTAGAGCCTTACAATCCTATCAAGCTGGAAACTTAATGAGTCATTCAACTCATTTAATTTTGACAGTCTCACAAGTTATATGCTTTGTAACTAATTGCCGAAACGCGAAACTTATCCATCCTCAAAAATCTACAAGCCTTTTTAATCCAAGCAATTTATATCAACACAAAGACTAATTTCTTAATTCGTAACTTTTGTAATTTGATAATATTAGATAATAGCTTTTGTATAATTTATTAGTTTTTACTTTTTCGACGAATATGTTTGATTGTTTAAATTTTAGTTTATTATTTTTGGAAGCCTCGATATAATTTCAGGCAAAACTTAGAAAATCACTCTAATCTCCTTCTCTTTCTTCTAATCCCTCTTAACCCCTCCAAGTTGCCCTTGATCCTTCCAAATCCTTTCACATATCCGAGATCCGATATGAGACCCGAAATAGTGCTTACTTGATTTAAATTTATTTTAATATTAAGCCTAGCTTTTTTTCGTTTAATCCTCTAAATTTTAGATCGATTTATATTATAAAATAATGTAGAATAATTAATTTAAAATATTAATACCTTAAATGACTCCATCCTCTTCTGGACAACATTTAAAAAGAAATTTAAATATACAGCCACCAGATAAAATAAAATTAAGTAAAAAGCAGTGCTGGGTATGGCTCCGGGAGCTAGCTCCGGAGCCGGCTCCGGCGGAGCCGGAGCCGGAGCCGGAGCTAAGATTTTGGAAACCCCGGAGCCGGAGCTGGAGCCGGAGCCAAGAATTTGAAACCCCGGAGCCCGGAGCCGGAGCCAAGGTTTTTCAATTCCCCACGGCTCCGGCTATACACCCCTAAAGATGGGTTAGAGAAAAAGAGGTAAGCAAAGATGGTAGGCGTGAAAAGAAAGGAAGAGAAAATTGAGACGGGTAAAAACGATTTTCTTTCCTTTTGTTTTCAAAGTGGTTGTGGTTGAATGGATAGTGAGTTAGGTTCCTAGTTTTATCCGATTATAGGTTCGACAAATAACACAAAAATTATTAAATAATTGTTTTTCCTCGGAAAATAAATTATAATAAAGATTTTTTTATTAAATAAAGCTTGATAAATTTTTTAAATTGATTAATTTTGGTCTATTTTTTTCAAAATTTTCGCCTGCGGCGCCAAAAAAGGAAGATTTTTAGCTTAGGGATTTTCAAAAATTTCAAAATTTTCGCCTGCGGCGCAAAAAATGAAGATTTTTGGATCCAAATCTCCTTAATCCCCCCGATATAGCCCTTAATCCACCTAAATAACACGATAATCCACCCAATTTATTGATAACCCCTTAATCCTCTTATATCACTCGATATCCCCCTTTATCTACCCAAATCACCCAATGAAAAATAATTATTGATTTTCCACCCGGAGCCCGGAGCCAACATGGAGCGGCTCCGAAAATCGCCGGCTCCGGAGCCGGAGCTGGAGCCGGAGCCAAGATTTTAAAAGGCCGGAGCCCGGAGCCGGAGCCGGAGCCAAGATTTTGAAACCCCGGAGCCCGGAGCCGGAGCCGGAGCCAAGAATTTGAAACCCCGGAGCCCGGAGCCGGAGCCAACAAACGGCAAATACCCAGCACTGGTCAAAAGCCCCCAACAAGAATAAAAAGTAAAGAAAGGCAACAAACAGCAATTCAAGTTGATGTTGGAAATGTTCTTAGAGATAATAAACGTTTGGGTTGGTTTTGGAGATTTTGACAGGATTTTGAATTTTACTTGAAATTTTATTCTGAATTTCATCTTCATGCCAGACCGGTCATGTCCAACGCCAGGTACTAGTCTAAAGAGGCATTTTTCCCTGTGCCAGCTATTGAATATTTTAAAATTTAATAAAAATCCTAAAGATTTGCAAAAAAATTTTATACGACAATACATATACCTTACTACACAAAAATGTCCAAGTTTATTCAGCAAATTTAATTATTTGCTTCCAAAAATTACCTTCTTGTGTAAACTAAACTCTGTGTAAATCTTCAACATTTTATCAAATTTTAAAATATAAAAATTTAATTAATTACCATTGAAGGGATATTTTTAGTTTTAGATCAGTTTCCTTTCAAATAATTTGTATTTTCAGTTATCTCCCCTATATTTTTATGCTTTTTTCCCACCGTTTCTGCTTCTCCATCAAACAAATGGTCAAAGCCACATTTTGGGTAGATTAGATTTATCGATTTCGTAAATTTCTTTTGGTTAACTGAAATCGGGCCGCAAATTGAAGCGAAAATTTTGGGTTTTAGCGAGACCAAGAAAGGGACAAGGGGGGGGGGCAAAGAATGTTCTAAGATAATTTTTTTAATTTTAAAGGTGAAAATAGACGGCCAAAAATTATAAGAATAGAAAAGCCTCGACAAGAAATTTGTGCCCCTCTTAAATGGTTTTGCTTTTTTATCAATTTTTGTATTTTTGTGAGTTTAATTTTAAATTATTTTCTAATTAAAATTCTTAAATTATGACCTGGAAAGAAAGGACAAGCCATTTCTTTTTCGGCCATAATTAAATAACAGATAAGCAAAGCGTAGTTAAGTCAAGAATAAAAACCTTCGAGCTCCAGCAGTTGATGCTAGGCGATATGCTTGCAACCCATGCCTAGCAGAGTCTAGCATTTTTCGTATTTTTTCGATAGCCATTGTTTCTTTAGTTTCTGGAATTTATTATTTTTACAAAATATAGAATATTTAATCTTGTGTCATTATAGTTAAGTTGTTTAGTTTTTGTGGATTTTGTCGTCTTAGCAAGCAATTATTTTTTAAGCTTAAATAATTTTTAGGCTAATTCTTTATAATTTTAGTATCAAGTCTTCTTAAACTTTATCTGGGCTTAATTTAATTCTTCTCAATATTCTATACATTTTCCACACAAAAATCAATCTTCCTTTTTCTTATCACTTTTATTTACCATTTTAGCCGATTAAATACATTTAAGAGAACATCTGCCATCTTTTTTAGTACACCCGTCTGTCTAAAGAAATTCACATCTTTTGCTCAATTACGCATAAATGACCTTGACAAAAAATATATTAAAAATTAATAAAGACGCTATGCTCTTTAAATTTTATTTGATTTTTATATAATTAAATTTTTTATTCGTCTAAAAAGAGAATTTATTGAAAATATTTATGGAGAAAAATAAAAAAATAATTTTAAAATAAATTCAGCTAGGGCTAGAGATATAATTCAAATCTTATTTATAAATAAATTTTTATTAAATTTTAAAGTTGGTCTCTGTTGCTTGCCTAGCATTAGGCCTGTATTTATTTGTAAATGCTCCAAGATCCATATCAGAACCAGCAGATGTATTACTAAATCCTGCAGTGCTACTTGCCTCTATTGGCTTAATTTCGGGTTTTGTTTCAATTTTTGGAATGTTTGGTGCACTCAGGGATAATGTGTTTTTACTTAAATTGGTATAGTAGTTAAATTTTAAGTTATTTTGTTAGAGTAGTTATCTTGAAGTCTCTCTAGCATTCTTTGTTGATTAAAAAATAATTATAAAAATTATTTTTTAGTTTGCCCTATGTGTTTTCTTTGGTTATCTTTTGTTGGTTGTCTCTACTTGCCTTTTATTTCTTTTGGTAAGATTTTCTATATTTTGTATTTTTTTGACTGGAAGTAATAAAGTTCAAATTATGTATGGGCTTTCACCCATAAACATACACAAAATTTATCCAAACTGAGTTAATGTAAGGATTTGCATGCCTTTTTTAATCTGTCAACACATAACATAAATTGCTTTAAAAGACAAATAAAAATAAAATATTTAATATTAAGTAAAATTAATCAGCAGGATAAAATCTTTTTGATCAAATGCACTTTATAATATTATTTTTATATTTTATCAGTTTTATTCTGATGTTTCTGGTGAATCCTCAACATTTATATCTATTCAATCTGTGCTCCTACATTCAATCGCTCGATATCATTCCAATAAAAATTATGCTGATTTTATAGATTATCTTCAAGAACAAGTAATTTTTAATTTTTATCGGAGTTACTGGCATGAGTCTTTTAGTGCTAAAAATGTTAGACAAATTTCTGAATTAGGCACATTAAGAAGTTAACCAATATCATCTTTTCTGATACAGAATATGAATATACTTGAACTAATTAATCTGAACCATTCTTAAAATCTAGTATCAAAAAGTTTTTTTAATTAAAAATTTTGAAAACATTCGAAATTTAAATACGCTTTTGCTTAATATAATTAAACTTTTAAAGCTATAATTATAAACTGAAAATAACTTTAACTAACCAAGATCACATACAAAAACGTCGTTTATTTTTGCAAGCTAAACATGATTTAGCTAATCAGAAAAACTAATTTATTTTTCCTAAAAATCAAAACATCCTTGCGCCTCAATTTTGAGTTTTTTCCAAAACATTTTAAATAATTTAAGAAGTTTGAAAGCATTCTAAAGTTAAATTTGGTTTTGCTCAACATGATTAAACTTAAAAAGCTAGGATTATAAACCGAAAGAAACTTTCACAATGGGGAATATCATCTTAGACTTCTTTTATTTTTGCAAGCTAAACTGGATTTAGCTAATCTGGCAAAATCGCTTATTTGATATTTTAAATCAATTTTATAAAATGGGTATAAGTATCAATGCTATAAAAAATCAAAAATAATTAAATAAGTATAATTTTTTAAAGCTTGAATGTTGTGGGAGTACAACTTTCCATGATTGGCAATTTAGTGAACAATTTAAATGTAACGCTTCAAATCCATATCCTGAACGGTTTTAATACAATTTATCTAAAATAATTTGAATTTTCAAGTTGTGGAGTGCCATATTCTTGTTGTAGAAAATCTGTGGTTTCTAGAGCGGGTGCTGGTGAAGTTAACCCTCTCATACCTGCAATTCACTCAATTCAGTGTTGGCAAAATGCTCAGAAGAAGAGGGAACAGGAATTAGATTCTGTTGGTTTTTTACTAACTATTTCCCCTAGGGCTGGTGTGAATTTGGGTTCTGATCTTCGGAAATTACTGGATTCATCTAACTTAGTATTACCCCATTATGACTATTATTATGGAGTGAGTCGTTGATTACATTTAAGGATTTTGGAACCACAAGTTTTTCACTCTGATGTATCTATAAAAACGAGTTTAATAGATTGAAACGCATGAACCCTACTCATTTTTGTATTGAAGGCGAGAATAACCATGAATTATGCAAAGGGGGTGTCGATAAGAAAGTCACATTATTATTTTTTAATCACATTTCGCCTTCAATTAATTGTTTTTTCATTTGTTCTTAATTTTTACAATTATTTTAAAGGATATTTATGTTCTTGGATGTCTCCAACCATTACGGACATTATTTGATTCACATGCTTTACATATTGGAATGATTGTACTTTCTATTATATTCCCAGTGGTTTGTTTTGAATTAATTTGATGATTAATTTGTAACCCATTATCTGATTCATAACCCATCTATGCCGTAATAAAAATAGATAATTTTATCAAGGGAAACTTACCCATATTAAATGATGTATTTTGTATAAAATTTCCTGAAAGAATTGATATCTAAATAACCATTAGCTTACAAAAATAATAGAAAGAATCATTAGTGCTATGTCTATTCAAATTTCTTTTTTCTCTTTTATAATAAATTTCAACCGCTTATTTATATTAGGGTGTAACATAAATAATTAGCCCCCTTTAAATCATTAAAGTTTGAAAATGTATATCTCAATGTTCAGATCTCCAATCTTTTTAATTTTTTTGTCATATATTCACAATAATGCCTTCTTAATTTTTTGAAAGATTTGAAATTTTTTCTTTATTTAAAAATTTTTTATGAATTTTTAAAGTTTAAGGCAAAATTATGAAATTATCGTCCAGTTCAAATATGAGATTGAACTTGGACATTCGGAAAAGGAATCATGGCGCCCCTATTTCAAAAATGCGACAATCTAAAAAATCAGCCAGTTGTTTTCCAGAGGGAATTTCTTATATCATTGTATTCAACTGATTCTGCTCTATGAGAATCTATTGAAATTTTCATTCTTCTCATCAATTTTCAGAGAAAAATCAAAAAGAATTTGCCTTGTTTCAAAAATACACGTTTTAGTATTTTACCTCTAACTCCGGCCAAAATATTCCTAGGATTCTGATTTTTTGCCAGAAAATAGGTAACTCTCTTAGGATCATAGAAAAATATAATTCGAAGTCTGAAAACATTTAGTTTAATTTTAATAAATATTTATTTAACTTTGCTCAAGGGGGGCTAATTATTTATGTTAGACCCTAATATTAAGCAAAAATTGGATTTGGATTTTATTTAATATAAATAATCTTTTAAAACTTTATAAATAAACAGAAAGAAATTTTAATACATCGGTAGACTTCAAGCGGCCGGGTCTAAGCTATTGTTTCGTTGATTTATTTTTGGAAGCTAAACTTTATTTAGCTATTAAACATTTAAATTTAAAATTTATTAAATCAAAACAACTTTACAATTTAAGTGTGTAACTGTTTGCCTCTCTCAATGCTTGGCACGGCAAATAGACTATCAACACTTTTTACTACGGAGAGAGCAAAGGCGAATAGCTCGAAATGAGAGGAGAGAAAAGCGTTATTTGGAGCAGAAAGGGGAAATTAAAATTGTAAACTTAAATTTTGATAAGCTGGGAGTTGATAAGATTCTTTCCAGCTTATTTCACAGGCCTCTTTGGGGTACTAGTACCAAAAAACAAAACATATTTCTAGCATGTTCCTAAGGTCGCTCTTGAGTTACCAATCAATAATTTTCATATTTATCTACTGATTTCCTCTTTATTTTCCTCATGTTGTTAATGTACAACTGAAAAAGGAAAGGGGATCAAACTACAAACTTTGCATGTACTGGACAGCAAGGTTGCCGAGTCCGGATATCCGAAGATTTCCAACTATCCGCCAACCTTGCTGGACAAATACAAAAATTATTAAATTTTTAAGGGAGAACAACACAAAAGACAAACAACAGAAAATGCTAAAAAACAAGGAGAAATATATGCTATTACCCAGCTTATTTCCTGGCTTTCAAAAATATAGAATTCAAGCACGGCAAAATGGGTTGTATAAATTTAAAGTTCAAAATACTTATATAAAATGTAAAAATCAAAAATGAAATATTGTGTATATTTTCCTTAAAACTTATTTTTCTACTAAATTATTAAAAAATTTTAGATTGGAAAAACTGGACGGAAGGCAAAAAAAGAATCATCTTCTAGAGCCTCCAGTTTCTCCCCTCTTCGCAATCTTTCAATTAAAAATAACAAAAAATGTGAAGGAAAGAGAAAGTCTTCAACCCTCGAATCTGTGCCAAACAATCCTATATATAATTTTAGAATTAATGTCTGTTTGTCTGTCTGTCCGCAGCTTTGAATTTTGCTGTGTTTGGCGTTGTGTTTATTTTTTAATTAAAAATGACAAAATATCCCAAAATTGAAAATAGTGTGTATTTAGAGAAGTAAAGAAAAAATGTGAATTTTTTAGAATTTGTTTTGTAATTTTTTTGCTTGAATTTTTTATTTTTTTGTTTGTTAATTGTATTAAGATGTTTTTTGATTGTATTTTTGTTTTGTTTCTTAAAAGTTGTTTTAAGTAAGAAAAATAGTGTGTATTTAGGGAAATAAAGAAGAATGTGAATTTTTTAGAATTTGATTTATTTTTGGAATTTTTTTACTTTTTTTGTTTGTTAATTATATTTAAGACTTGTTTTATTATTTTGTTTTTTATTGTTTTTTAAAATTTGTTTTATTTAGAAATTGTTTTTAAGTTCAAAACCAAAACGATTATTTATTCAAACATCGAGAGTGTCCAACCGGTGGTTAATTTTTGTGAGCATTTAATTTAAACAACGAGTGCGTCCAACCGGTGGTTAATTTCTGTGAGGTATGTTTCTTAACATAATTATAGTTAGGTTTTTGTGTTTGACAATGCGATACTAAATAGTTGACAGTCCTAGATAGTTTGATGCAGTGAGATACTAAATAGTTGATAGTCCCAGATATTTTGATAAGTAAGATAAAATAGTTGATAGTCCTAGATAGTTTGATGCAGTGAGATACTAACAGTTGACAGTCCTAGATAGTTTGATGCAGTGAGATACTAAATAGTTGATAGTCTAAATAGTTTATACATTGAGATACAAAGTAGTTGATAGTCCTAGATAGTTTGATGCAGTGAGATACTAATAGTTGACAGTCCTAGATAGTTTGATGCAGTGAGATACTAAATAGTTGATAGTCTAAATAGTTTATACATTGAGATACAAAGTAGTTGATAGTCCTAGATAGTTTGATACAGAGATACTAAATAGTTGATAGTCTAGATAGTTATACAGTGAGATACAAAGTAGAATACAAAGAAAGAAATACAAATGAGATATGAGATACAAAGAAAGAAATCAGTCAACTTGCATCAAGATCTACTTTGTTAATAAACTTTTAAGTGAAAAAAATACTTTTTTAACTACATTTTCTAACTCTTATATCCTAATGTAAAAGAACTTTTTTACTATATACCAGTTAATAGTTAATAGTAAAAGAACTTTACTATATACTACAAATTTTAGTTAATAGTTAATAGTAAAAGAACTTTTTACAATATATACTACAACTGTTAGTTAATAGTAAAAGAAACTACTACTATAAAACTACAGCTGTAAGTTAATAGTTAATAGTAAAAGAACTTTTTACTATATATACTACAACTGTTAGTTAATAGTAAAAGAACCTTCTACTATATAACTACAGCTGTAAGTTAATAGTTAATAGTAAAAGAACTTTTTACTATATATACTACAACTGGCAGTTAATAGTTAATAGTAAAAGAACTTTAATATATACTAAAACTGTTAGTTAATAGTTAATAGGTGAAATTGATATTAATGGTTAATAGTTGAAACTGATATTAATAGTTAATAGTTGAAAATCTTAGTTAATAGTTGAATCATAGTTAATATTTGAAAATTGAGTTAATAGTTATAGTTGAAATTGATATTAATAGTTAATAGTTGAAATTGATATTAATAGTTAATAGCTGGTATAATTTACTAAAATTTTAGTCCTATTGAATAAAAATGCGTGGCAATATAAGAATTGTACTTGATGATATTGATGATATTCCTTCAACAAGTCAAAACACTGCTCAAAATCAAGCTGAAGATATGCAAATTCAATACTCTGATAAAAGAAAACAAAGGCTCGAAAAGGACAGAGAACGAAAAAGAAGAACCCGAGAAAATGAATCACAAAAAAGAAGAGAAGAACGATTGGAACAAGACATGATTCGACATAGGACTACAAGAGAAAATGAAGATGAAGAGGAAACTCAGCAAAGATTGGAACATGATATTATTCGACATAGGACTAGAAGAGAAAACGAAGATGAAGTCGAAAATGAACAGCGATTGCAACAACAAATGATTAGACAGAGAAGTAGAAGAGAAAATGAAGATCGAGAGGAAAATGAGCAACGTCTGGAACAAGACATGATTAGAAAGAGGATTAGAAGAGAAAATGAAAGTGATATTGATAGAGATATGAGATTAGAACAAAATAGAAATAGATATAGAAATAGACTTAGAGATGAGATCCGGTTGTTCGCAGCCGGTGATCATCGAAATGTGATTGTGAATAGACTCGGAAGGATGAATGTTGAGTGTACCCACTGTGGTGCACTGCATTTTCCGGAAGAGAAGATTGGAAATAAAGGAAATTCCTTTAATAATTGTTGCCACCATGGCAAAGTGAATTTGAATTTGATACCAGAATTTTCCAGTTTTACTGAAAAATTTGTTTTTGAGAATTGATACAAGATACAAGAACTTTTTTGATTGTATTAGAAATTTGAATAGTAGCGTTTCCATGGCTTCCATGAATCCGCTTAGATATAGATATCCAAGTAATAGAGGCCCATATTGCTTTCGCATATGTGGTCAGATTTATCATAAATTGAACTTAGCATTGAATCCAGACGATGGAGACGAGCCTGCTTATGGGCAAGTCTTTATTGTTGATACAGAAGAAGCGCTTAGTGCAATGAATAGAGCAAACCCTGTCATAAACCAGAGTTTGTTAAAAAATGTTTATGAATTGATAAAAGACATCAATCCGTTTGCGCAAGCATACGTAATAATGAAAGAAGAAGAAGACATAGAGAAAGAAAGAGCTAGACTTGAAAATAGACCTCCTGTCGAGGTTAGTCTTTTGTTTGATACAAAAACCAACTTAGACAGGAGATTAGGGTACAATGTACCAAGAGCTAACGAAGTAGCAGCAGTTTATGTGCCTGGAGCAGATGGCGAAATGCCTAATGCTAAGATTGTAGTACGAGAAAAAGGAAAAGAACTTAGAATTCTGGATAATACTAACCAGTTAGTATCACCTATGACATACCCGCTGTTTTTTCCGCGTGGTACGTTAGGGTGGCATCCAGATATTAGACAAGAAAATAGTATTAGAAGAGTGACTAGACTTCAGTATGATAGTTATAGTATTGGAGTTAGGAATGAGTTTAACCCCATTCTTTATGGGGGAAAACTCTTTCAACAGTATTGTGTTGATGAATATGTCAAGATTGAGAGTGATAGAATGAGATGGATTAGAGGTAACCAGAAAACGATCTTGGCTGATGCCTATAAGAACGTTGACAGTTACTTAGAAAAGAGGGCGAGAGAAACTGGGAGGCCGTTGGGGCGTAAAGTTATTTTGCCTCCGACGGTGACCAACTCGCCGAGATATATAGAAAAGCACTTCCAGGATGCAATGTCATTAGTGCGAAAGTTCGGGAAACCGGATCTTTTCGTCACTATGACTTGCAATTCGCAATGGGAGGAGATTAAAGAGAATTTGTATGAAGGACAAGTGCCTTCAGATAGACCTGATATAGTAGATAGAGTATTCCATCTAAAAGTTAAAGCATTGATGAAAGAGATAACTAAGGCCAAAATTTTTGGCAGAGATATTTGTTGGATGTATCAGGTAGAGAACCAAGGACGGGGACTACCGCACATCCATTTGCTTTTGACTTTGCTTGATAAAGTAACAAGTTCTCAAGATGTTGAGAATAGAGGAATTAGTGCTAGACTACCTGACAAAGACAAAGATAATGAATTGTTTGAATTAGTTAAAAAGTTTATGATCCATGGACCATGTGGTGATTTGAATCCAAATTGCCCATGCATGGAAGAGAAAATAGTGAATGGAAAAAAGATAAAAAGTTGTTCAAAGGGTTATCCCAAACCCTTTCAACAAGAGACTATAGTATTGGATAATGATTTAGCATTATATGCGAGACCTAGAGATGGAAGAACTGTTGAAATATCTGCAGCAGGAATGAGACATGAACTTGATAATAGATGGGTTGTTCCACACAACCCTTATTTGTTAAAGATGTTTAACTGCCACATTAATGTGGAAAAAGTGAATAGTGTGACCTCTGTGAAATATTTACATAAATATGTTCACAAGTTACCAGATAGAGCTACAATGAATTATGAAGAGAAAAATGATTGTGACGAGATTAAAGAATTTATAGACGCAAGGTACGTCTGTCCGCAGGAGGCCGTGTGGAGAATTTTAGAATTTGAGACATATGATCGTAGTCATAGCATCACAACTTTGCCTGTCCATTTGGACGGTGAACACGTGTGTTATTTCGACGAGAATATGACTGAGCAAGAGATTAGAGAAAAGATAGAAAATGACTCTGAATTAATTGGATATTTTGAATTGAATAAGAATAATGCCTTAGCTCGGAATCTTTTTTATCATGAGATTCCCGAGAAGTTTGTGTTTAGAAAAGGAATTTGGAATGAGAGAAAGACACATTTCAACACAATTGGTCGGATGGTCAAGGTTTCGCCAGCCGAAACCGAACGCTATCACTTACGGCTGTTGTTGTTAAATGTGAAAGGAGCTACAAGCTATGAAGATTTGAGAACTGTAAAGAGATTAGATAATTTGATATTGAATATTAGAAAATATGCAACCTTCGCGGAAGCATGTTTAGCCAGAGGTTTGATTAGAGATGATGATGAGTGGAAGAAGGCATTAGAAGAAGCTAACAACTTCGAAATGCCTTGGAAATTGAGAGAGTTATTTGCCTTGATTTTAGTGCATTGCAATCCTGCAAAACCCGAAGAACTTTGGGCTTTGTTCAAGGATGCATTGTCAGAGGATTTTGCAAAAAATCTTAGAATTGAACTTGCATATAGAAAAGCGTATATAGATATAGTAAAAAGAATATTAGAAGCAGGTAAATCAATTGCTGATTTTCCTACTATGAAAAAACTAGATGGTATTAACCAACTAGATGATTTAGATTTTGACCAAGTAAATAGTATTGAAGAGCAATTTAATGTTGCTGAAGAATTAGATCTAGGTCGTCGTAGCTACGAGCTACTAAACGACGAGCAAAGAGAAATAGTAGATGAGATTTTGACTAGGATCTCCAATCCGGATGGGAAAATGGCCTTCTATTTTCTCAGCGGACCAGGTGGATCAGGAAAGACATTTGTACTTTGTACAATTGTTCACTTGATTAGAGGAATGAATAAGAAAATTAGTAACATGGCCTTTACTGGGATTGCGGCAACGCTATTACCAGGAGGTAGAACATTGCATAATAGATTTGGCTTGAATTTAGATATGAGCAATTCGAAAATAGGCCCAAGCTCAAGAGCATGGGAAGAATTGAAGAACGTTGATATGTTCATTTGTGATGAGGCACCAATGATTCACAAAAGAGCATTATCAACTATAGATTTGAAATTGAAAGAGATTATGAATAATAGTATAGAATTTGGTGGCAAAATTATGCTGTTGGCAGGCGATTTTCGTCAGACATTGCCAATCCAGAAGCATGCCACTAGAGCCGAAATTTGTGATTTGACAATAAAAAGAAGTCAATATTGGGCTTCTGTGAGGAAGTTCAAGTTGACAAAGAATATGAGAGCCTTAGAAACTGAAAAAAGATTTGCTAAGGATTTATTAGAAATTGGTTCCGGAGAACGGAATATTGATACTGACCAGTTGGTATTACCACTGGATGTTATTAGTACTGGTGATCTAGCTGAAGAGATTTTTGGAAATGTGATTATAGATAATGATTGGAATAAGATGGCCAATATGGCTATTGTTGCGCCGAAAAATGTCGACGTGAGAGATTTGAATAATAGGGTTTTGAATATGCTTCCTGGCAACGAAACGTTGTACAAGAGCATAGACAAAGCCGAGAATGAAGAGAAACAAGTATTAGACGAGTATTTGGATGAGTATTTGAACTCATTGAGCCCAAATGGGTTTCCATTACATGAGTTAAGATTGAAGAAATATGCCATAGTTATGTTGATTAGAAATTTGAATATAGAAAATGGCCTGTGTAATGGAACTAGAATGTTGGTCGAAGAAATGAGACCAAACTTAATAGTTTGTAGACTTTTGACTGGAGATAGAGCAGGTGAAATGGTGTATATCCCACGCATCACTCTGTGCTGCGATGGAGAGTACCCATTTGATTTACATAGGCACCAATTCCCATTGGTGTTAGCCTTTGCAATGACTGTGAATAAGGCCCAAGGGCAGACATTAGAAGGATTGGGAATAGATTTGACCAAAGACGTGTTTAGTCACGGTCAATTGTATGTGGCCCTCTCGCGGGTTAGATCTTGGAATTCGTTAAGAATTAGGTTATTAGAAACTAATAACGAGAGAAAAGTTATGAATGTAGTGTATAGAGAAGTAATAGATGATAGAGATTAGTTTTAGAATAAGATTTAGATTTAGAATTGGGTTGTCTAAAGATTGTCACAATCTAATAGGTTGCTTTATTAAAAAACCTAATATATTTTTTAATTTAAGACAAATATTTTTGAGCCAATTTTTCTTTGAGAATAAACAACAAGAAAAAGAACAACAAAAAATGAACAAAAATAACAAGAAAAGGAACAAGAAAATAGTTAATAGTTGAAAGTTGGTTAATAGTTAAGGCAATGTCTTGATTGGATTAATGTTTGAAATTACTGATACAAGTTATGAACATGTCGAGACACAAAAGGTATTACAAGTTTTTTTTAAATTTTAATATCTAATTTTAAGAATCTATCAAGTCTTGAAGAAATTGGAAAGAATAAACAAAATGAGGGTATAAGTGATGATACTTTTATTCGAAAAAGAAATTCTTTGTGTAGAGTTGAAATTTGATAGGTAATAGTTTAAAATTAATATTTTAAAGTTGGTTAATAGTTAATAGTTAAGAATTAATATTTGAAAGTTGGTTAATAGTTAATAGTTGAAAATTAATATTTGAAATTTGGTTAGTAGTTAATAGTTGAAAATTGAAAGTTAAAATCAACATATAATTAAATTGCAAATAAATAAGTCTAAAATTTCAGTTTCAAAATTCAAAATGCGAAGCAATGCAAGAATTGTTTTGGATAGTTGTTTGGAAGGTAAAATCAAAATAATTAAATTGCAATGTAAAAAATTAACATTTTTAGTTTAAAGATTCAAAATAAGAAGCAATACAAAAAAGCAATACAATTGTTTGCAATACAATTGTTTGGATGATATCAAGCATTATCAGTGGACTTACAGTTAGAACGGCTCAAAATCAAACTAAATTGGAAAAAACAACCAAGATGAAGATTTAAGATGATGATTATTTTATTTGAAAAAAGTATAATTATTTGAGCATTGTTTTTCTACGAAACTAGCAAAAGAATGTTGCAATGTTGTAAGATTTGTACATAATACTACTATTATTTTCAAATCATGCAATATTTCAACATTTGTTTTGTTAGTTTTTTTACACATTCTTCCCTAAATATTTATGTGTTTTTGATTGTTTTTTGCTTCAAATGTGTTTAATGTTTTTAAAATTAAAGTTACATTTATTGAAATATAAAGGTTTAAACGTTTCATGCATATGTTTTTAGATGAATTAGATAGTTTAAGTTTTTTCATAGGAAAGTCAACAGATAGGAAAAAGTTTTTGTCAAAGGAAAAGACTGACCGGAAATGAGTTGATTTGACTTTTAAGTTTTGTTATGATTTTGAATTAGGCTAGCGGAGGAGCTCGCCCGAAGGGCGAGCACCTTCGCTAGTAAAATTAAAAAGCGGGTATTTGATGGCAAAAAAGAACAGCAACATCCAAGCCATAAAAATAATAATTTTGAAAAATTAAATAATAAAAATTGTATTAAAAATATTTAGCCAGAACCGTCTGCCCCTCCAATGTATTTTACTATGCAATTGCAACAACACCATTTTAATTAATTTTATTTTTGGAATTTTTTGTTTGAATAAACGAATTTTTAAAATTATTTTATGTAGTCCAGATATTTCAAAACTCTTATCAAGAACCCCAATTCCTAAAGCTTACATAGTTTTGTGGGAACTCTACTGTGTAGTTTTCAATAATATAATTAAATCCCGGATTGCCATAATAAAATTTAAAAATTATATTTTGTTTAATATCTAAATTCATTTTTATGACATTTAATATATTATAATGAAATATGCCTTTTGGTTTCTGTTTGCTCTGGCCTTTTAATTTTTTGGAAGCCTAAAGAAATTCTTAGGCTATTTTTCTTTTCCAATTGCGATTTGGTATATCGCCAATTTTTCCATTTTTTTATTAGAGATGTTATGGAAATTGGTAGATCTTGGAAAGCCTGGCCACAATTCTGTCAATGACAAGTATTGAAAGCTTTCACTCTCGGGTGAACCTTTAAAATTTCGAAAAAGTATTTTATCTTCTTTATTTTCGTGGCAATGTGAAATTTTACCACAAAATCTTAAAAATAATTTAATTTTTGGATGTTCTTGTGTGGATTTAACGTATCATTTTTAACATGTCAAATTAGCGGATCATAAATATTAATTAATTGAAGTTTTTGGTTTGATAAGTACTTGAAATATTTTGGAGATATTTTCCTCTTTTGCTGTTTCCATATTTTTTGGAAGCATGAACAGTGTTCAATGCTAATTATTTTAACAAACGTTATATAAAGTGCTAACTTATAATTAGAGAGTTTTTTAGGCACGATAAAACCGATAATAGGTACCTAAATAAGTTCGAAAAGAGGCCGAAATAGGTTTTTTAGGTCCGAATAAGTCCAATATAAACTCATTATTTCGACCCAAAAACAGTGTTTTTCGTGTTTATCTCATCAAAACTAGTTCGCAAAAAAACTCAATAACTTGATAATTATTAAAAAGAAAAGACATTTATTTTAGTATATAAAACAATTAAAATAAAAAATGTCAAAATATTTTAATCAAAAATTTAAGGATCACTATTATTTCTTTTAAAAATAATTTTAGAATTTAAATTATTTATTCCTTCATTTTTCATTAAATTAATGTCAGCACCCACTTTAATTTTTGATACTAAATTTTAAATAAATTAATTAATGAAAAAATAAAACCAACCAATCTTTTGTGAATAGGCTGAAAATAATAAAGTTAAATTGGTTTACGTACATATTTATTCAAGTTATTTTAGCTAATATTGCCCTACTGTTACGACCCCGCTTACGTAGAGGAAGCTAACAGAACGTTTATCGCACAAAGAAATACAAATAAGATAAAGTTGTGGTAGGAGGAACTAAAACTGAGACAGAGAACTAACTATTGGCTGGCTTTTATACTAAACACTTTAATGGTTGACGCCAATACTCAACACCTACTCGTTGCCAGAGGTGGGTCGGAACTAGTTCCGACTTTTGAACCAGTTACAATTTCCGGCTCTTCCTATTTCCGACACCTCTGACTGTTCCAATCCACCTCTGCTCGTTAGTTATTATTTTTATTATCTACTTTTTATCACTACTAAACTTGGTGCAATTTTACTATCGTTGGGTTCTGATTAAAAACGTTTATCTAATTTTATTTAATCAAACTGATATTTGTTTGATTTTTGTTAATTTAGATTTCAAGCTAATAGAGTGACCGTAATTCTATCTAAAAAATTTTGAAGCCCGACAAGAAACCCTATTAGATTGTTACTCCTCCCTTCACTGCTTGTTACTCAGCAGTTTTGTGTTATTTATAAAAGTCTCGCCATCTAAGCTGATACAATATTTTTGAGTGTGAATGTAAGTTCAAAAATAAATTAAATATTTTACCTTAATTTGATTTATTCCATTTTTGTTATTTAAATCTTTAACATAACGCTTAAGTATTGGAATATATTTAAGAAATGCTCGGCGATATTCACAACTAAAAATTAAAAAAATATTTATTAAATTTAATAATGTTAAATAATAGATTATGTCATGTTTTAATGTGTATGGTATTCTGCTTATATTTATGTGTTGCCCTGTCACTGTGTCTTTATTTTTGGATGTTTGAAGAAAAATTCAAGCAATATTCCGAAATAACAACTGGAGTGGGACGGGTAATCCGAAGCCCAAACTTCTATTCCGAATCGCACTCCTACCAAACGAATTTTTTTCTCAACATCCCTAAACAACGGAGCGGGAAAGTTGAGCGACGACTATAACTGGATAACTATAACTGGATGGATCAAGAATGATCACCGGCTAAAAATTAAAGGTCGATAAGTGCAAGAAATAGTTGTTTTTCACACTTATCGACTTGTAACTTTTTAAAGAGCGATCACTCGTTTAAAGGGCGTTCACTCGCCACGCTTAACTGCCTCAACCCCTAAACATACCTAAATTTAAACAAAATAACAGCATTTGCACAGCAAGCAATTAAAGCAAAATGATTAGCCAGTTGATAAACTATATAAGTTACAGCTGTGTCACTTGGATCCCAAAAATTTGGAATTCCAATAATTTTGGTAAATAAATAGTAATTTGTATAAAATGTAAAGCCAAACAAGGATACAAGCAAAATACTCAGTAAGGATTTAAATAAACGTCTTGTTGACACTTAATTAATTAAATATTAATTTATTTCCTTGTTAACATCACCTAGAGTATTTAAAACGCTTAGGCGGGGGTTAAACGACTTAAAAATAAAAGAGAGCACTAGTCGATGCCCTGATAACTCCGTGGTAAATTCAAGTATGTGGTGAGCGAAAGCGACTAGCAATAACTGTAGGAGATTGCAGGTTCAAATCCTGCCCGGTGGCTAAACTATTGCTGAAATCTTTCCAGATATGTATACTAAACACAAAAACTGAACAGAAACCCCGAAGATTATCGCTTAGTCTTGTCGGTACAGGTTCATATAACCGAAGAATGTGGTAATCCATACGATCTTAATCAAGAGAATCTAGTCCGCAATGGCTTTAGACATGCGGACTTGTGTGATTTTTATCTTTTAAACTATGAGTAGTCATAGGTGCGGGGGTGTCGTGGCTGTCACTAACCTAATCCTTTTGATCTCACTGTCGTGGGGGTGGCGGGGTCTGGTAAAACCAAAAGGGAGAGGACATGTCGGGAATAGTGCGGCAAAAAACCTAAAGGGAGAGGGCATGTCGGCAGCGTCGTGGAGGAGTTGAGGTCACATA